TTTGACAAAAGGGGGCTTCCCTGGGCTATGCAGGTCATGGTGGAAGACATCTGTTTTAGAAGATTGTTCTGCTTGAAGACGTTTCAGTAGTGTAGCCATGTTGGTCAGCCATAGAAGAGCTGGATTCAAACCCAGTAGCACCTTGAAAACCAACAACGTTCTTGGGATATGAGCTTTCAAGTGGCAAAATATATGACGAAGGGAGCTTTGACTCTCAGAAGCGGATACCTCCAAACTCTGGCAGGTCTTTAGGGTGCTACTGGGCTTGAAAGCTTTCAGAAAGCTCAGATGAATTCACTGGAAGCTTTAGACAATGTCTGTGTTCTATACCTAGATGAACATCCGTAGATCTCAAAATCTAGATCCAGACTCTGATATTTAATTTTAACCTTCTGGCTGAACGGTTCCACTTGCAGGAAATGTTTTGGAGGTTTATTAGGCATCATGTGCCACAGTCCATATCTTCAGAGTTCCATGTTTGCACTGCAGCCTTTTCCAATCAGAATCCAATGATTGCAGTTGTTCCCACTGAGGATAATGGGACCACCAGTACTTTGCATGGTTTCTGTATCAAAACTGAATTGCTCTGGGGCCATTATATTGTCCTGAAGATGTATGGCAGTAGGAATGTTGTCACTGCTAGGTTCAGTTCGGTGAGAGTGAGACACTTGACACTACCTTAACCTCTGCCTTCAAATGCTAACTTGAATAAATAGGCCTTACGAAGCTCCCAGAAGATGTCTGAGTTTCGATGAGGCCTTCAGAGATATCCACAGACAGCTACACGCTACAGACAAAGATCTACTGGTGGACATCCTGATGGCATTTGGGTTTTATGTGGTTTGAAGTACCTTGGGTTTTAGCCACTGTGTGATACAGAGCATTGGACTGGATGTGCCATTGGCCTGATCCAACCTGGCTTCTCTTATATTCCACGCCCAAATATACCAATGTAAAGGGTCTCAATAGCACTAATAGTACATCACCTTCACTGCTATTTCTACCAAGTCATGATGGATTTTCTTCCTGTGTTGAATCGAAGAGATCAATTATTGGACCTCCTTTAATTGAATCTTTGGAGGGGCTACCCATCGACTAAACTGGACTGCTCTTTCCTAGACTTTTGGGGTGCTTTTGACTTTCCTTGTTCTCTGGTTGCCTAGTGGAGCTGTGTTTGGCCATCTCCTAATTGGTCCATGTTGGCATCACCCTGTTGCCATGAAAGCCTCCACCCCCATGCCTACTGGACGCCTTAGAAGTGCTTTCAAGTGGTCTTTGATAAATCATTGTTAAGTGTTATCCTTGGCACTCCATGGCACTACCTGCTTGAGAGTCTCTTTCTGTTCCCAAGGCAGCCGTTCCCTCTTGCCTTATTTTACCGGCGACAGTAATTCATTCCACTTGAGCTGAGTAGCTTATTTCGCATTTATTTGCCCATTATGAGCCCTGTCAATCTACTAACCCTCCAGACAGTAAATGGTTTGGGGGAAATACACACACACACACAACAACAAATATTAGGCTAAGGGGTCGAAAACAAAAAAGCCGTGGAAAAAAATATATTGAAGCCTTGCATGGGGAGCTCAAGTAAAAACACAATGAATAAATCGTGGCTGAGAATTAGCTCCATCGTCTGGTGTGCGCAAAAATCAAGGGTGCGGCACAAACCGGCGTTATTCCTCGGAGAATGTGCCATCTCTCCTCTCTTTCTCTCCTGTGCCAGCCAGTTTAGCTGCTTCAGTGCAGAGTTAAATAAAATATTTCCCCCATCAGGTCAAGAAAATAATTAGTCCTGCATTATTGCCTTCTTCCTCAGCAATCAGACCTGACGCATATGTATTATGCATGGTTGGTACCTTCTACCTTAGGAAAAAAGAAAGGTGGATGTGTATAGAGTATGTGGATGGATGAGTTTGGCCTGAATACAATGATGAGGGGGGGAGAGAGCGCACAGAGTAAAGACACCTCATTTTCGGAATACCTGAACCGCCACTTCACTGCAACAATTAAAGTGAGAAGTGTGAGGCTTTAGAGACCAAATGAGCCAAGGTGAAAAATTAAGGAACTGAATGACAGTGTGTATGTTGAAAGAAATATATTCTGCTTTCAAG